CGAGTGTCTACAGATCTACTAGATCTATGTTATTTTTAAGTTTCGAATGTCATGGCGAAAATTATTTTCCAAGCAATCATAGGGGTTTCCATGCAATCACAGAGGTTTTTCTGTGGTGGAAGTACATTTTCCAATGCAATACTGTCGTGCAACTTTACTTTTTATGTGAAGCCTAAGTCTTATGTTAACATCCTAGTTTTGTAGAGATTGTACACTATAAGACCACTTTGATTACAAGGAGGTCATAATTATTCTTAGTTATTGGATGTGAAACTTGAAAGATTAAAGTGTATCACAACATTTTAGGAATTTTATTTTTGGACTTTGTACCAAGCTAATGACATCACCAATTACCCAATTTCACATCTAACGGTCAACAATGAATGCGATCTCCTTACACTAAATAGTAAATGGTCTTATTGTATGCATTTCCTACTTTATATATAGCATAAACCTTACAATCAAAGAAAGGTGCACCCCCAAACCATGCTGGAAGATGCATTTTTTGTACTAGAAACCCCTTTCCCTATGATTGCGTGAAAATCTATTTTCATCTATATTTATAAAGTTTAAAGCTACAAAAATGAAACAAATCGTGCAAATTTATAAACACTTGAAAATAGACAGATGATGTGCTACAAGAAGTACTACTTTTAAGACTCGAAGTCATTTCTTCTTACACATACATGTCAAGCTCGAGATGACCAATTCAAAGGTTTTCCTACATCATAACAACATTTTCTGGTGGGGTTTTTATGTGCATGCACAAAGTTGACACCTTATATAAGTTTTTCCTTTGCATAACTAGTTAAAGAAGAATCTTTGGTGAGTTGGCAGACTGACCTATTCTTGTGCCGTCCCCCTCCGAAATACATCTCAAAGATGAATTTCGATCCAAAATTTTAGGGTTCAATAATCTCAACCATGACAATGGTCTAAATTTGGAGAAAAAAAATCTGAAAAATGGAAATGTTGTTTTTCTAATTCCTTTTTCTTCCACCATCCATTTTAACTTTTAGTAGATGAAACAGTTTTTAACATCCATATTAGAGATGGACGTTTGATAGACAAGGGACCACACGGTAATAGGTGAGTATGCTGACTCACCATAACCGTGTAGATTTTCTTCCTCCTCTTTTTTTAATGTTTGTACGTTTTCCTTCTTACCTTTGTTGACACCTTCATTCACATTTTGGTTAGAAAAAATTACATACATATCTGTTATAGTTTCCGTTATTACGGCTCTATCGAATAGTTTCTGTTATTACCACCGTGTCTGTCTTTTTCATGTTAAAACGGAAATTTAAAAAAAAAAGACGATTTTACCCATTTTCGGTTGTTGAAAAACTGAATTCAAAGTATTTTTTATTGTTCAACAATCGAAAATGGTGCCAATTTTGGTTTTTGTATAACCGAAAATTTTCGGTTCTTCAAAAAAATTTTCTCTCTTGTGGATCTGCTACCTTTCTCTACATTACATGGATAAAATGATTTTTTTTTTTAAACTCTCTCTCTCCCCGTCTTTTTTTTTGGGGTAAGTTCATAATCCCTAAGATTTCTTCTAAATTTAGGAGATCAGACTAGTTGTTCCCCCCTGATTTTATCGGATAACCACGACTTCAAAGAGGTAGAGAGAAAATACAGCACAAGATTTCTCCTAATCTTCTAATCTCATAATCCCTAAGATTTATCTTAAATTTAGGGGCTCAAACTAGTTCTTGCCCTTTGATTTTATGATAACTATGACTTCGGAGACGTAGAGAAAATCTGCCACAAGAAAGAGAAAACATTTTTTGGTTGTTGAAGAAACGAAAATTTTATATTTTTCCATTAACCAAGCTCAAATTTCAAGAGAAATTTTCCTGAATTTCGCGACACATCCAAGCTATCAGATTTCACATCGGATAATTGCAAGTAATTGTCTCTTCCCAGTGTAAACCACTCATTCGAGATGCCTCATTTCTAAGGAAGACTATCAGGGAAATTAATTTTCAAAAATCCAAACAGTCTCGTAGTGTTTTGTTTGACCCATTGGTAGAAAAATCAACGATCTAACCGCTAACGGCCCGATTCGATCGGAACCGGCCAATGGCGGGTTCTGATTTTGGGTGGTTTTGGTGATCGACCGGTATTTTTAAAAAAATTCAAAAAAATGCATATAAATTCTTAAAAAATAAGAAATTTGGTTTGTAATGTATTTTTAATATTCTTTACATTATGGTAAAAATTAAAAATTGATTTTTTCATTAATACTCACTGTAATTAAAAAATCGATTCGTTAAAATCTATTTTTTTCATTAATTTTCTTCATTTGAATTTTTTTCATAAATTTTCAACTCCATTTGAATGTATTATGTTTTAATCATTCTTTATATTATTTTCATATTTTAGTTTTTTTTTTTTATCTTTTTTTATTTTTCAATACTTTTTCAACCGCCCAAGACTTGCTCGGTTAAAACGAATGAATCGGCCGGTTTATTGGTTAGGACAGTTAAACCGCTTCCGAGCCCATATCCAATTAACCGTTTTGGTTCGATTCCGATTTTAAGATCACTGGTTTGACCTAAATTTTGGATCCAAAATCCATCTATAGATTTTGGAGGGGAGTGCAAAGAAACAAATGCATTAACCGAAGCACCAAAACCCCACAGTTATTTAAGCTGGAGAGAGTGTATAAATGTTCCCCGTGATGCATTAATACATCCTCCTTTTAGCGATTCTATCACTCGTCCTACTATCGCGTAGGGTGTTAGAAAGTGTGATTCGACTGAGTAATCAATCTTGGCCCGAGTCCGAGTAACTCAGCTCAAGTTGGGTCAAGTTTTAGTACCAAGCAAAAAAAAATGGGGCTAAAAAATCCATAGGGGAAATTTGTAAAAAATGTTAAAATTAGGGAGGAAGGTTGAGGCAGCTTGATTCGAAGGGGAGATAGAGGGGTTGGTGCAAGAGACCTACCCCAAACGAGAGAGAGAGAAAGGTTGCGAAGGGGAGAGAGAGGGCTTGGGGACAAGAGACCTACCCCAACCCAACCGAGAGAGAGGGGTTGGGGCTGCTTGCCCCAAACCAGAGAGAACCTAGCAATCTCAACTTGAGAGAGAACTGCAAAGAGAGATAGAGATAGAGATAGGCTGACTGCAAGAAAGAGAGAGAGAGAGAGAGAGAGAGGTGCTGGCCTGCTGGAAAACCACAGTACGTGGGGCTCTTAAGACCCTCACTCACACAAAATTCTCCATCAAAATGGTGGAGATTCCCCGCCCGGCCTTGCTAAGAGCAAAAGCTCCAATAATGGACTTGAGCCTGCAAAACTATTATCGGGGCGTACAAAATCCTTTCAACAGACTTTTCCAAAGCAAGGTAAAAATCACCCGATTTTTTGAAAAAATAGCCAACTAGTGCACTAATCGGCTGGGAAGTGTACAAATCGTCCAAGTTGTACAGTAACGTGGTACCTCTCAAAGGGAGGAATATGAAATCGGGACTACTCGGGCTCGGCCAGTGTTCGAGCACGAGTTACTTGGACGAGTTGGAAAAACTCGGCCAAGTTTCCTAACACTAGGCATCCCAGCCAAGCCAATAACACCTTCAAGCCTAACCATAATAGAATTTGGCCTGATGGATGTGCCCAAGTTAGGCTGGGCCTATGCCAAGGGTGATGGCCAGCCTAGCCCAGCCAAGGGTGACCCGGCCCAAATATTTTATTTCTTGATAAGTTTCATTAGGCAAAGTAGGTCTAGGGCATCCACCTGGAGCCCTTCGCCCCTGTCTGGCCGAGCCAAGCCTAGGCAAGGCCTTTAAGGACCTAAGCGAGCCTCGGTCAAGGTGGACCTCACGTGTCCTACTCAGCTCTTGCCCAACTCCCTTTGGTACAAGAGAGACGGAAAGAGAGGGAGACAGACATAGACGTGCACCCCACCCCCAAAGCTCAGATGGTGCAACGCTTGGTCATATTGCACCCATCACAACTTTAGGTCTCTCTCAAACAACACTAGTTCAATTCACTCCATTATCCACTTCTTTTTCCTCCATGCAGTCATCACCATCCACGATTTCTCCACTCTGATCATTATACACTTGGTTGCTTGCCGTCCGTAGGCCACTACTCATCTGCCTATTTCTACCCACAAATTCGACACCAGTTCATAAACATTGTTTGTTTTGTGGCCAACAAGCCATTTGAGAGCCTACTTACTTTTTAAGGAGTATCGTATGACCAAAAGAGTATATGCTCCCCCGGGAGTTTATTTTGGAATATTTCTAGGACCTCTTCTCCTAAAATTTTTGATGTGCGCTTTAATTTGATTGTTTAGGGCTTCGCACTTATAGAAACATTTTCCTCTAAAAAACAACGTAAAATAAAATTCAAGCGCAAGTTATCTGTAACTCAAAGAATAATGACACAGTTGAAGTTGAAGAGACTGTCCCATTTTGAGATAGTGAATTGAGGCATTTTATTGAAATATTCACCTAGTTATCCTATACAAATTGTCAAATTCTCTTCGAAGGCTTTTTCGGTTTGGTAAAAAAAAATGACACAATTCGATGTTTCGGCCAATTTGGGAAAAGACTTCAAACTTTTTTTAAAATTTAATATATATAAATATTTTATAAAATATATAAAAATAATGAAAAAATAAAAAAATTTAAAAATTTTAAAAAGTAACTCTTGTATAGGTATTTCTTTTCTGACCGAAACTTCGGCCGAAGCAGACCCTGACCGAAGCAGTAGCACCATGCTTCTCTTCGCTTCGATTTATGTTTGAAAAACAGAAGGCTTTAGCCTCTTTAGCAAAAGCAAAGTGAATTTGATAACATTGATCCTAAAAGGGATCCCAAATTTTCAAACTAGAAAAATTCTCCTAAATAGCACTTTAGTTTGAGCGAATAGAGGGAGTAAATGTACAGCATGCTCCAGTTCACTATAAGGGCTTATTAAGTAAATGCCTGGTAAACTTTTCATTTTTTTAAACCCAAAACGGGTTAGAGAATTTTCCTATTGCAAAGCGTTGTATGATATTATATGGTACACCATAGGAGCATCCATAATCGAATGGACGGTGGAGATTGGATGTAACAAGGCGAATAAAGGTCGTCCGATAGCATGGCTGATCTCCAACATTGGTTTTTGAGAACGGACGGTGGATATCCTTTTAGCTTACAATACACCATGCACAACTGGTGTAGAATGTCCTCTCCCACAACTTTTACTTCTCGAATGACTTGATAATCTAATTAATTCTCAAAGGCAGACATGCCTGACCAAGCAAGCACAATTAGTAGTGCACTTACAGGTAATGTCACACATCAAAAAAATACACAACTGAGAGAAAACAGCATTAAAAAAAAAAAATGAAGCCCCTCAAATAAACGGTTGCTGAACTGAATTTTGAAACTGAGAGTTGAAGGCAAAGAATGGCAATGGAGGAAGAGCAGGAGCTGTTTGCTCATGACAGAGATGAAGATGAAGAGAAGGGAGGGAAACCCAAGTTGGAGTTAACAGTTGATGAGATAATAGAAGAATATGTTGGGTCTTTCGGGTTCTCTCAATTGGTTCACGTCTTTCTGGTTTCGCTTGCTTGGATATTTGATTCTCAACACACCCTTGTTACCATCTTCACAGATGCGGAGCCTCAATGGAGGTGCAAAATGAATGGTTACGAGTGTTGGGAAAATGCCTCACTGTGTGATCTTCACCCCAAAGCATGGGAATGGGTGGGAGGAGAGAGAATGTCCACTGTTGCGGAATGGGGCCTCATCTGTGGTCATAGATTCAGAGCTGGCATTCCGACCTGTGTGTTCTTCCTTGGCTCACTCTTGGGTGCTCTCTCTCTCTCTCTCTCTCTCTTCTAGAAACACTAACAATTTATTTTGATCTATTACTGAGACCCAAATTCCTTGCTCCAACAGGTTCTGCAATTCAGGGCCGCCTTGCTGACTCAAGTTTGGGAAGGAGGAAAACACTCTTCTACTCCTGCCTCTTCACATCCATTACAGCCTTTCTCACCTCTCTTTCTCCCAATATTTGGGTTTACTCCATCCTTCGCTTTTGCAATGGTTTTGCTCGGTCAGGCATCGGCATATGCTGCCTTGTTCTCTCCACTGAATCAGTGGGGAGACGATGGAGAGGACAAGTAGGTCAATATGGCTTCTTCTTCTTCACTGCCGGCTTTCTTTCTCTACCCATTATCTCATATCCACTCCAAAACTCATGGCGAAACATCTACCGATCGATCTCTCTCCTTCCCTTGCTCTACTGCTTATTTATCTTCCCCTCCATCTCCGAGTCACCTAGGTGGCTCTCACTTAGAGAGAGAAAAGAAGAAGCCATGCAAGTCTTGACAAAACTAGCACAATCTAATGGGAAGAAGATTCCCAAAAACCTGACCATTTCGAACCCAAGTTGCACGCAACCAGGCTCAAGAACATGCAATCTATGGAGCTCAAAGTGGGCTCGAAAGAGGATGGCCCTAGTCATGGCTGTGGGCTTAGGAGTTGGGTTTGTTTACTATGGAGTTCAACTCAATGCACAGAACCTCTATTTCAATCTCTATTTCACTGTGGCCCTAAATGCTCTAATGGAAATTCCAGCTGTTTTTCTAGGCTCTGTTTTGCTAAGCTGCATGGACAGGAGAGTTTTATTCTCTCTATCAGCCATCATCGCAGGCATTTCATGCTTCCTCTGTGTGATTTTATCAAGAGACAGACAGAAAAACAAGGATCAAGCGGGGAATTGGTCACAACTGAGTGTCGAATCAATTGGATTCATGTGTATTTCAACAGCTTTCGATGTGATGTATATATATTGCGTGGAACTTTTCCCAACAAGCGTAAGGAATTTTGCGGTTTCAATGCTAAGGCAAGCCCTAATGTTTGGGGCCTCCATGGCCCCAATGTTAGTTGCTCAAGGGAGGCTCAGCCCCTTTGTTTCTTATCTGGTTTTTGGGGGTGTGGGGATTTTCAGTGGGATTTTTGGCTCTTGGCTGCCGGAGACCAGGAATCGACCTCTTTATGAGACATTGGAGCAGCAAGAGCATGAGGAGATGATCAACGAGCCCTATGATTCCGAAATGGTTAAGCTTCCAAGTTAAGGGAGGGAAGAGATAAAAAAGAAGCTATTGTGTAAACTACCTAAAAATTCTTTCTTGGCGGAGAAGAAAGATTATCAATATGTTGTGAACTCACTGAAAACAGCAAAGCCTGATGCCTTGTGTGTATGTATGAATGCATGCAGACATGCATCGCCCATGCCCCTGTGTGTGTGTGCATGCACATGTGTGAGTAAGAGAGGCTTCTGTGAGGTCTTTAGTAGCAGGGCAAAAGAAGATTGTGTTGTATAAATTATCTGTATGGTCTGCTAGGGATGAAGATCACCATTCTCTCAGTGTCAATTCTTTGGTAGCATAAAAACCAAAGAAAAATATGTTCATGTGCATGTGTGAGAGAGAATTGATTGTTAAATTATCTGGACACTGACTGTGTAAACTATGTGTGAATTTCTGAGGTACCTATTGCAGACTAACCAAAGACTACTGTTCAAATTTCCATGTTTCTATGCGGTAGTAATATATATAACTATAAGAGAAAAAACCAAATAAATAACCAAGGCCCATGTCAAAACACTTTTATTTCCATTTTTTATCCAATCAGAATCACAGTTTTTTAGCTCACTCACAGAACCACCTAACAGACTGCTACTCGATATCTCAGCCTTAATTCATCAATTCCATATACCCAACCCCTCTATTTCCCAGTGATTCAGACCCACCACCCCCCAAAAGAAAAATAACAAAAATGCATTATCTTTATGTTCAAATAAGTCAGCCAGTTTGCACTAGGGAGGCTTCAGTTTAGACCCCTATCCTGCAAACCGTTTTTCACTGTCAAGTTAAGGGCCTCATCGAAAAACTTTAAAAATTTCAGCCTCTAAAGTTACATATTTTTTTTATTGGTATCAAAAGTTTAAGTTGTCATAAACTCACATCCTTGATATTGTCAAAGGAGCCGAAGCAACAGAGATATCTCCACCCATTACAGGTTGGAATAAACTTAGGTCTCCATAGAGGTGTCCGGAAAGTTTTAGAAGGTGGTTGTGACAATTTTGAGAAGTTAAAACTCCAGAAGCGAAAGCCCCATGAACAGTTCCTGAGTGGGTAGTGGAAACTGCCTCCCCTGCAAAGAAGAGTGAACCAACTGGTAATTGAAGCCTCTCATATATATCATCTGGCTTGTTCACGAGGTCACAGCAATAGCACCCAAGGGAATCACGATCAGAGCCCCAACGTGAAACCAGATACTGGACCTGTCATTAGTAAATTAAAAAAGAATATAGGACAATAAGGAAAAAAGAAACAAAAATCTGTAATAAGTTAATTCTCACATATAGTGTGCTATTGTAGCTTAACACATTGACCACACATACTGAAATTTATATAAATATTTCCATTTACTTAACACCAAAACGTAGTGGCATGGAGCTCACAATCTCAGCCCTCAGTGTCTGGAACAAAGAGTGGGCATCACTTAATCTTAGCCCTTCACTTTCAAAACCAAAGCCACAAATCACCCAAACCAAAACAGAACGTAATACAAAAAAAAATTTAATAAATAAAAAAACAAAGTACATGGTCCATTGGGGTCATCACCATCTAATGAAATGGACAGTAATGTAGAGAGGGCAGCTCCATCACTGATAATCATTTCATCCAACTGTGATTACTGAAATGGACTATGCTATACCATAGTCCACATTGGACAATATTGCCCTTACTAAAGAGATATAGAAAGTACACTATACTTCAAGCATACAGAAACCATCCATCCACCATTTCATAGGATGGTGATAACCCCAAATGGGCCATGGTTCCTCCATACGCTAATGGAATACAACACAAGAAAAAAGGGTCAAGTCTCACTGGTTCAATAGCATCTGGTAAAATCCTCTTAAGCTGAGTCATGGCAAAGTTGGCAGCCGCCTGATCTGACATTTTCTCTATATCATGGGCGAGCCTGCCCGATGGCATGTATACAAGGACTGGATGGCCTGTGGCCTTGTGAAGGTTCAAGAAGTAGGTGCACCCAGATGGGGTAGGCCCCACCACTCCCAAAACCTCAACATTTGGCCAAAAAACAGAATCAAAGTGAAGAGCAATCTTGTTCTCACTACCAACACCCAAATCTGAAATGGCTGATTCTTTCCACTCTGGAAGCTTTGGCTCAAACTCAATCAGTTTGGCTTTCAAAACTCCTAAAGGCACTGTTACAATAGCAGCATTCGCTGAGAAACTCCTCCCACCCTCGATTGTCACCGTCACCCCATTATATGAATGTGTAACACTCACAACCCTAGGTAAAAAATAATAGTGCCTGTCAGTGCCACATCCCTTAGCAAATTTCAGGAAAAATAAGTATAACAAAGATGCAGTTATAGATAATCCAATGGACATATGCAAAACGATAGTTATTGAGGTCATGAATCTCTGATCAGAGGATGGACAAAGATCCAAAATAGGGAAGCTTACAATAATTCAATGGACCTAAGGGAAACCATGGTCCAAAGGGGTGATGGACAGTGTAGACATCAAGACAGACCATTGGGGCTGTCCCCTAGACTGGTGGCTGGTTACCTCTCCATCACTGCCCATCCTTTGATTGGATCAGAAATGACCCCAATGGATTATGCTTTTCTAATTAATCCATTGGAGAGTGGATTACACTGCCAGAGAAATAAATATGGCTGGCAAACACATACAAACCTGTGTTCTAATAGGATGTCCAGACCTTTTGCAAGACCATTTATAAGAGGATGGTACCCTTGCACCATTAGCCCATGTCCACCAGTAAGCATTTGTTCCTGTATTTTGAGATAAAAGTCATCTGAGTGGCTTATATACAAAAAAAATAAATAACAGAAAACTAGGATAATGAACATCCAAATGGTATAATCAAAGAGGAAATAAGGGAAATAAAATATAAAGCATGTTATAATTCAGGAGTAATGGATAAACATAGCCTATTATCACCAACCAATGAAAGAATCAATGGTGATAGAAACCCGGGGGGGGAGGGGGGGGGTGCAGGATCACCATTGTGGTCCTCTAACGTTCTGGTCCAATGGGTTCCATTATTTCCATCATAGTCCATCATGGGAAGCAATAAGCCCATGGATTTCCATCATCCAACAGACTAAAGCACAACATTATAAAAAAATAACAGACTAAAGCACAACATTATAAAAAAATAACTATTTCAAAAATTCGGTCGGCATGCCAAGACTCAGCAAGAAACACTTTCTCAATTAGTTAGTCATCCTCATGATTGTCAGTTATCAATTTTTGTTCAACTTTAGAAAAGCAATGGCAGCTTGTTTCCCAGAATTTGTCACCTGATCCCAGTTTTTAAGCGAAATGGCATCCGTGTCCGCTGCAAACCATCCTTCCATTCTGCATAAATACCATTGTAGTACTTTGAGGGCCAGCCCCTCTGGTCTGGACACAGGAAACCCATTCTGTCAGAGAAAAGGCTTCAGCTTGCACACACACACAGAGAAGGGGAGGGGTGAGAGAGAGAGAGAGGGGAAACAAAGAGAGGGGAGAGAGAGAGAGAGAGTTAAATTACTAAACAATACTTGTCAGCAGCCCAAAGTCCAGAATCCAAACCTTAAATGAGGATATCTATCCAAAACAATTGACAGCGCTTGGTGCACGGACATGTCCTTGCGGTGTTCATCTCTCACTTTCTCTGTCTGGAGTAATCAAAGAATGCAAACTTTATCACAAGATATCATTCAATAATCAATTGTCACATGCTATTGTTTATTGAATGATCAAATGCATTACAGATCGGTGGGAGAAACTTGCCTCTTTGAGAATCTTAACAAATATCTCGCCGACCTCTAAAACTAGTTGTTGAGGTACTTGACTGCCATCAGTATCAAAAAGTGCACAACTGCAGGAAACAAAGAGGTGCAAATAGCACACCACATTCAAACCGCTTACAATTTCATTTCAATTGGGAATCAAAATTAAGAACTCTGCTTTGTTTACCCAATGGGTAAGAAGTAAGCTCTATAAGTTGTAAGTTGCACATAAAACAATAGCTTCAAACATGTTTTCAAAAATTGCCGAATGGATTGGGAATTGCCAATCTGGATTGGATTCAGTGAGTCACTAGGCCAATTTATTCCAAGAATCAGGAAGCGACTCTATTCTCTTTAAAATGCATTATTCCCCTTCTATAACAAAAGATCTACCTTTCCAAATCATGGTCATACAACACCGAGTTGTCTCCACTTGTACGATATAATGGAAGACCTAATGTTCGAATCAGTGGAGCCAAGGGATTTTCATTGCAGACACCATGCAACCTAAAGCACAAAATAAAATATAACTCAGTAAGACCTCTGCATATGAGAACTTCTTGTTTGTTTGTTTTTTTTGGCTAAATTGTATATAAGAATGTTTGCTTGATCCAGGATGTGGGAAGCAAAAACTAACTAAATAAAATAAAAAGTCGAAGAACGAAAAGTAAAAGAAAAGATTACAACTAACCATGAGGCACCCATGTCAACTGGAAAACCAAATGAATAATCAGTATACACTCGGCCACCAATTCGATTCCTTGATTCCAATACGACCACCTAAAATGTTAAGCAAATAACAAGCAGTTTCACATATCATTGACATGATGCATACATGTGCAGCTATATGCATAATGCGTGGGTGTGTGGGTCTATCCATGTGTGTCTATCTGTGCATCCAGTTTGTGTGTGTGTCTGTGTATAACATCACGTTATCTACAGCACCTTGAAAGAGGCATCATGCAGAACACGAGCAGCCGCAATTCCTGAAATCCCAGCCCCTATCACAATGACCGAAGGTAAAGATGACCCGTCCTTCTCCATACTCACACTTGAAGACTCTGAGAAATCAAATATTTAGTCATTATGGCTACAATCTCAAAGAGAGTTAACCAGTTGCAAAGATAATCTGAATGCCTAATGGAAATCTGAAAAAAGTTTATAAATCCATGGGCATCCACCTATACCATACTAATGGTGAAGTCTGGAAACCCGTCCCCCTAATTTTGACAATAAAGTGCCCTTTTTTTGGGTAATTACAATAAAGTGCCCTTACTTTGTATTACATGCACTTTTTAGGTAAGGGCATCGGAGGTACTTTTGAACTCCTTGCAAATGAATTTCAAATGCGCATGAGATTCGTTCACCGTTATTCGCTCCTACTGTGTAGTATTGTTTAAAAATATCTTTAGGAATACATCGAATACCCCTCAAGAAAAGAAGTAATACAATGTCTGGACATTATGGCCAAAATTTAGGGAGTCAGGTTTCCTAATTAGAAAGATGTAAAAAACCTATATACACAAACGAGCACACACAGAGTTCACATCAGAGTCACAACACTGAGTATCACAAGTTATCTATGACAGATTTCACAATTTTTCTTCTGTTTTTTTTTTTGTTGGTTTTCTTTTTCCTTTATTTTTGGGGTGGTTTGGCCGGTGGCGGTTGTGTTGTCAAAGATAAATTGTTGTATATTGTATCATATGCTGTTCAATGTGGTTATGTGTCTTGCTTCTTCTAGCGACATCCACATCCCAAAATGGCCCCGAATTGCTCTTAATTGGGAGGGTACTTAAACTCCTCATGACATGGGTAACGCAATTTGTATTCTTTGATACTATTTGGGCAGGTTACTTAAACAGCTTACGCCTTGGGTTCGGACCACCGATACAAGAGACAGAAAGAGAGAGGAATCCATACTGTGTCTCCTTGGAGAATAGTAGAATTTGACCTTCTTCTTCCATGGATGCGGCTTCCGAAAGGAAGTAAACCACACAAAGTTGCTTCGTGGATATTGTTTTGTCGCTTGTTTTCTTTTGATACTCTCTTTTTATATGTCAACAGAGTCAAACTGTAAATACCAAAATGCAAAAGTGGGAGATTTCAAATTCATTGCTCAAAATTAGTTACACGGTATTTGTCAAGTTTATTAAATACTGTATTCCATTACACAAACCACTTTTCATGTAATAAAAGACTGAATTCCCCCATAGTGCTAAAATATAGAATGCTATTACCCATGATATTACCTATGGTTCCAAAAGATCTCATTCTTAGACCAATGGAATAGGTCAACAACATTGTGCATTAATAAAAATATTTTCAAACTATCACCTTTTTTTTCCTTTGTAACTTGTACTTATATCCAAGAAAGTATTTTTCTGAGAATTCAACACCCAATATCCCTGTATCCATAACAGAATAGCATATAATCCATACTGCAACCCAAAACAAACGAATCCATCACATAATTGAATCCTAAAATTGACTGGTTTCCCAACAAAATCTCAAAGCTAGAACACATGAATCCATCACATCATATGAGTCCATCTCATAATTAAACAATAAAATTGGGTATTCACCATTTTCCCAAGAAAACCAAAAATTGCAAATAAGCAAACAAACAATAACAAAAGAAGATTAATGCAACCAAATCGAGATATTGTGTTATTGACAGCCTAAAGAAAGTTTTTCCAATGGAGGAAAAAGGAGCAAATAAACTCCTTCTGATCTATCAAAAAATTAAATCTGAAATATATAACATACCCAAAAAACACCATGAAAAAACCCATTAATCTCCATATACATTTTTTTTTTTTTTTGAACATTAACAAAGTATTAATCTCCATATGCTAAACACCATGATCCCAGTAAGCAAAAAAAGAAAAAGACTTACCAGCCTCTGATTGAGCAGACTCCATGCTTCTATGGAAATAAAGACTCAGACTTCAATTTGGTCTCAAAATTTAACAAAACAGGCGTAACTTGAGGCGAATAATGGAGAACGAATATCAATAGACAAGTGATGAAATGGTTCGAATTCGGAGAACCCCCAAGCTTGACAAACCAGTTCATACGGAACAACAGGGTGTGCCCCCTAAAAATACCTAGAGAGAGAGAAGAAGGGCAAGAACTTGGAGAGAGAAAGAGGAGAGAGAATTGATCAGAGTTGCAGGTGGGCAAGGGAGATCCACATGTCCGGCAAATTGTAGAGAGAAAAAATCGGAAAGAGAGAGGAGAGGGAAAGATCTTTGAATTATTGTTGCCTGTTGGGATTCTTGGGGCTCCCGGTACAAGACGAAAGGGACTTCTCTTTTCTTGGTTTGTTGAGGAATAAATAAATAAACAAATAATATTTTAAATGTTAAAAACAATACATAAAAATTAGAAATTAGAGCAAGATGGCTTTTTTTAGGATCCTTCCACGATTTTTTTATTATTGGTTAGGTTGTTAGGGCACAAGTTACCGACGCAAAAACACCAATGCAAAACAAGAGAAAGTACTAGATGCCAAAAAGATATTATACTCCCGCACGACTACATCTATTTACTCCCTCCATATTTAGCCAAATCATCTGCCCTCTCTATACACATGTTGAAATGAGACCATTGCCCTCTCTATACACATGTTGAAATGAGACCATCGGACCAATAATATTCATGATCTCCATTGGTGACATTAATTTTTTTTTTAGAATTAATTTTAAGAAAAATTTTCTATATTTCCTCCATTATGTAAAAGTTCTATACTTCTCAATCCAGATGTCCATTTTAGATCAAATAGGACATTGATCGTTTGATCTAGATGTTCTATACTTCTCAATCTAGATGTCCATTTTAGATCAAATAAGACATTGATCGTTTGATCTAGATCTAACAACTCCAAGTATTTTTATTTTTATTTTTATTCTACAAATTATATGAAATTGAAATTTGGTATGTGTTATCATCTAAATTGGACACACCTAAAAAATATACAAAATACTATTTTCAATAAAATAAAATGACAAAATACTACTAAAACTTTTAAAGATATTTTGGTTATTTTACTTTATCAAGAATTTTGTTTTTTTTTTTTGCGGGTATGAATTTAGGAGAGGAGTGGACGACCAAAATTTGGTGCCAAGATATTTTGTAAAAAATAAATAAAAATACACCAGTTTAGAGGTGTGACATTGTTATTGTGTATCAGTTGTTCATTCAGATCTAACGGCTAGACAAGGGGAAGTATATTCCCGATTAACCTCAAAAAAAAAAAAAAAAAATTCCCTAATGGTATCATCTATGTACTTGAAAAAAAAAAAATATCTCGAAACTGACTAATAAAGACCGTCCAAATTTTGAAAGGTGAGATTTAAGTGTTAAGAAACTCAAAATTCAATTTTTTTCTTTTTTTTTGTTTTGAAAATAGTAATCTAATGATTCTTAAGAGTTCCCAAAATTTCAGATTGGGAAAATTATTCCAAGCCGTCACCTATCCGAGAAGCATGTGTACATTGTATTCCATAGGAGAACAGTATACACAGTTAGGCTTTACCATCAAAAGTAAAACTACACCAGAAACCTCGTTAGGAATCGCAATTTAGACACGGCAGAATCTCCCAACCTCAAATTATGTACCTCAATATAGAAAGAAATTTTAATTATGGAAGCAGTTATTATGGGCTCAAGTCCGTAAACATAGAAATGCGGGCCTATTAATAAATCTGTATTTGAGACCGATTTTTTTATTTAATTTTTAATAACATATAATATCTAACATGATGATCATGAATATGAAAAAATAAATAAATTTTAAAAACTAGAAATAATAATTCTAATAAGAAAACATTTAAACCATTGGTTTCCATTGTTTTTATATGGAACACCTACTTGCATTTATCTCTAGGATGGATGTTTTACACTTTTTGGACTGCATATGTAGTCATGCAATCCAGCCTGCATGAAACAATTTTCTTTTAATTATTAAATGAGTAATGATCCTATGATACCCTCCCACAACCCACACGTATGTGAGTAAGATCTCAAATGATCACCATCAAATTTGACATAAATTTTAAAAAAAATCAAGTTCCACACTCATGTAATAATTTTTTTAGAGATCTGTGCCAAATTTGATGGTGATCATTTGGGATCCTACTTACATGAGTGTGGGAGGGTCTCATAGTGTCATTTCTCTTATTAAATTATGAATCTTGTAAGATAGTATTTGGACGGACCATTTTCAAGCTTTGAAGATGGGCCAGATCTAATATTTTTTTATGAAGCCTCAATTTTCATAATTAGGAGTGGAATAATTTTGAAAAATAGGGCAATTTAAAAAAATAAAATTTTGATTTTCTAATAGATTTAGGAGGTTAATTGTTTTCCTTTTCCAAATCGTCCCTTGAGATTTTTACGTGACAAGGGCGCTTATAAAAGATAATTTTAATTATCCAAGAGTTATAGGAGATTATTTTTTTTTTTTAGGATATTGGGAAACTTTCTTCTGTCCCGATTTTTCTCTTGAGAATTATTTTTTGAGATCTTTACGTGACAAGGAAGCATATAAAAGATAATTTTAATTTTCCAAGAGTTATAGGAGATTTTTTTTTTTAGGATATTGGGAAACTTTCTTCTGTCCCGATTTTTCTCTTGAAAATTATTTTTATATGACAACGCAATAGTACAAGGAGAATTTTGATTTTCTAAGAGGTTTAGGAGATAATTTAATTTTGGGAAATTTGTGTATATATGCCTTATATTTTGCAGAATTTAAAAATTGTCTTCAATATTTCATATGTTATGCTTACGTCCCACTTTTTTAGAGTGTGTATTATATTTTAATTTTAGTTATTTTTTCGAATATGGTTAGGCGCAATTTTTAGGTGTTCATACTTCTTGCACATGAATAAAATATAAAACTAATTTAAATAAGCAAAAAAATTGTATAGAGCCTATGCTCTAAGCAATCAAATTAGAGCCCACCTAGAACATTTCACTAGAAGAAGTTTTGATGCTTAAATATTCTCAAATTAATCATCTCAACGTCAAGATGCATGGACATGTGAAAAAAATGGATTTCAAGTTTTGAAAATAGTGCACCTTGTAATGCCTTTTTGGACCGTCAATTTTCAAGATTTTAAGCTTTCATAAATCTGCTCGATCTACATTATTTTTTAATATTTAAATTTTATGATTAAAAATAAAAATATATTTTAAGGCTATCACATAGATTACCATTATTGAAACCACATTTCCCGATACTATTTGAAGGTGCACTTCATTTTGATTGTAGATCCTCAGCTCTATACAAACCACACCCTTTAAATAATAGAGTAGCTAAAATACTCCTAAATTTTGTAGGGATATTCCAATAAGTTTATTTTTAGTTTATGTTTTATAATATTTATAGATGTGTAACGGTGAGAAATATAAACACACAAAATTTGAGCTCATTCTGGTGTATAGAAAAAGAGTAATGATCCTATGAGACCCTCACACACCCATGTATGTAGGACCCCAAAGGATCACCATTAAATTTGGCGCAGATCTCTAGAAAAATTATCACATGGGTATGGGACTTGATTCTTCTAAAGATCCGTGCCAAAATTAATGATGATCCTTTAGGGTCCTACACACATAGATGTGGGAGGGTCTCATAGGATCATTACTCGTAGAAAATATAAATAAAAAAACTAGATGTGCTCTTAAAATAGAGGACACCAACATAAATCATAAAATATCATGGATATTTTTAATTTTTTTGGAATGTTATCGATATTTACATGAATTTGCCTTTTCTAAGACAAGTTGAAACCCTTTTCTTTTCGATTTTTTGCTTGGGAAATATATTTATATGACAAGGGAGTTTACAAAATATGTTTAGCCATTATCAATACTTCAACGATTGCATAAAATAATGAAAATGAAAATGATAATAATAATGATAATAATAATAATAA